TAATTTTATTTGAAAGATAATGATATGCATTGAGAGAGTGAGCGATAGAAACAAATTGATTGGCTTTTCGTGTAGTAATCAATACGTTATCACCAGAAGTGTTGCCTTCAAAGTAGGCATTCATTCATTCATTTAATTGTTATTTAAAATAAATAAATTTTACTCTCATTTCAGATGTTTTTGTTATTCATTAGATTTTTTATGTTGAGCTCAAAATTGGCTACAAATCTGAATATTGATAACTATTAAAACGAAATTAATTTATTATTACAATTGGCATATTATCGAGTGTTAAATACCATTTATTGGCACTTAAATACACAAAACATTATTTTTGGATTTCACTTTTTTATTTCATAATATTCAAATTGACATTAAATTTATTTCAAATATTCGCCGATTTGTTGTTCAATTAATTTGTGAGCGCTTTTCAAACTCTCGGTTTCCGACGGACTCGAGGCATACATATCCCCGCAATGAGCCTTCCCTTCAATCATCACAGCTTTGGTACTGTTATTAAGGTCTTTAAGGACACTGAGTGCGTGCCAGGGGTCGAGTGACCCGTTAGGGAACACCACGTTTGTCACATTTGGCTTAAAACCTCCGTAATAACTGTTGGTCTGATCGATGGCCTTCTGGACAGCCTGTGCTGAGACACCAAATATATCGGTGCACTGTTTGGTGAAGAACTCGACGGGAAGGTTATGACCGAACGGACTGTCCTTAAGGCTAGTGGTCTGGTAGTAACCAAATTCAGTGCACGTCTGATAAGTCCATTGTCTCACTGTATTTGTATACAAAAAATTAATAATTAAAAATAAACTAAATATATACTAAACTCTAATATTTTACAATCTGACCCCAATAAATAAGAATTATCACATAAAACTCCCTTATAGAAAATTCCACTTTTATAAAGGGTTTATTAAGACTCCCTTATATAGAGGTCAGACTTAAATATCGATTACATACTTCCGGATGTGACCGCCGATGAGTGTTTAGACGTCTGGCTGACACTCTTAATCATATTCTTATAGCTAAAATCAATACACTGTCCGCCGTGATGGGAGGCCTGTGCCCGCGCGTACCTGTCTATAGCCCGGGCGCCACCAGTCTTATCGATTACAGTCCGGCAAAAGCCTTGAATATTACTGTTATACTGAACAATGCCCGCAACGGTGTCGGTCAGACTCGAGGCAAAGTTGTACACATCGTTAATGTCGACGCCGTCTAAACTCTCGCACAGATTGAATAACTTTTTCAACTCCGCCCGACCCGACTGTGTCTTCAGGTCCTCCTCTATCTCTTTGGACGCTTCCCTGCAATCGACAGATGTTTATGTTATCATTCTTTCAATGTTAGAGAGAGAGAGAGAGAGAGAGAGAGAGAG